GTAAGTCCCGATAACAGTCAGTGCGACTTCGGTTATTCCTGAGATCTCACTTGATAAGATAGCAGTAGACAAGAGGATACAACGACGTTTACGAAGAATTCAACTCGTGCAAATGGAAATTGATAGGATGTAATGTCCGGATGCTGTTTTTAGTAAGGAATGAAAGGAACATAGCTCACAAGATCTCCAAATTGGTTACGAGTTTCGTTGACTAGCGGACATCAATGCGCAGCGGTAAATTGAACGTGTGCAAAAACAAGATAATAAATAGCGATCCCTCAATGGAAGATGGACCGCGATGAGCTGTGTAAACTTCAGCCATTGACCAAGCTACCGAATTGGTCATAAAAACAAACAGAAGGGCTATGTTCTCGCTAACTAATGCAATGCAATGCAATTTAATGGCTTGACCATTTTCTCTGACGCTCCCTAGAAATGGGCCTAGCATCATTGAATACTTTGTGCTATATTTTAAAAAAGGCGTACACGAGGTAGGTACGAGTGCCGCACAATCTACCTAAATGAAGCGAGTCATTCGAAGAACCGGCCAATAATCGCGTCCTTAGCAACGACTGTACGACTTTTTTCTTACATCTTTACATTACAAAGCTTACATTATTACTCAGTAATTATAATGCATTTACTGGCGGTCGACCATACGAAAAGTATGCTCGACTCGGTTAGCCATATTAATGTGCTTCTATGCAGACCTAGGTATATGGCGGCTCCAAGAATACTCGATGTCTTGTTAAATGGTTACGTTACTGTTTTATAGTTTAATAGAAATTCGTCATACGAGACGTGGGTGAAGTAGACGTTTCATTTAAACGTCATCTCCGATTGGGAAGGTGGTAAATATCTCGGAAAACGCAAGATGCCGGCAGGGTAATGCTTTTCTCTGACAAAAATATTATTAATTCGCAGTAATAGAAAATTTCTGGCTAACTAAGTGTAAGTAAGCATCGTTTAACCCTAACTAATTGTCTTCACATTATGACGATCATTGGCAGAAGATCATGCCGCGCGAATTAAATAATTTTTCCCTGTCATCGTACAGCCATTTCAATCAGAACTTTTTTTTCTTCAAATTCTAACATGATATTAGCTATTAAGTGTCTGTCGTTCTTGGTTATGATTAAAATCATCTTGAATTGATATTTTCTGGTTGAGGCATCATTACGGCGGGTTATAATGCAAATGAAGAAAAAGTACCAGTGGAAATATCGATGCACGGCGGCGACAATTTTCTCAAAGGTTGAAAAATGATAGTTACAATAGTACAACGTAGGGGATCACGTTGAAAAAGTTGTTGACAGAAACACGAATATGTATTAAGTCTGATACTGAGGAAATACCTTGACGCTTTAAAAACGGTAGATGTGTTTTTTTTTTTAGGTGATGCGTTGATACTAAGAAATAATACAACAACTTCGATAAAGCCATTGATTAATACAGATGGACAATTTCTGCACTGATCGACCGTTCGGTGACGACGTCAACGAAAAAAAACTATAACCCTCGCTGAATACGAAAAGGGTAGCCATTTAGTTTCCGTTTACTTGTCGTCGATAGAATGGAATCGCAGACGCTTGAATTACTTTACTATGCTCCCTTTCGGAACAGAAGACCCATTGTACATTTATCAAGTAATCATGAGACGGTTTATAGAAGTTTTGAAATGTTTTCAACTTGTACGATCTACTATTAAGGTTATCACTGTTTAAGTTGTTGAAATTTAATTAATTTATTAATAATATGCCCCTACGGTAATTTTTGAAGGTGGTTATTTCACCTTCACTACAACACTCCTATTTAAAAAAATTTTCCGCTAGTTAAATGTGGCTAAAATTTCAAAGAAAAAAACTATTACAGTGCTAGCTCGCTATCTCGTTGTTGAGTCTCTGCTCAGATCGTCATTATCGTCCGTCATTGTAGTTGCGAGCGAAATAGGAACTTAATTGTCCCGGTAGTTCTAAGACGCGACAACAATGCAATGCGTCTACGCGTTAATTATTAGTGATGATAATAATTAAGAGTAGACGCGTTGATTCAGTTCAATTAAGAGCTAACTAAACAAAAGCTATTGAATTAAAAAGTAGTTATTGAACAACTAAACAATTTCATCACTCTAATGAAAATGTATTTATGGTATGGAATCGGTGAATGGCCGATTATGTTGCCCGTGCTATTCTCCACCGGGCCTGCTTGTAGCACGATTGAGGCCTTCCTGAAAAATAAAATTATAGTCCTGAAATCGCCCTCTCGTTCTGTTTCCAAAGCGTTTAGTGAGTTTTTTTTTTCCAAGTGTACACACGAGAAGATAGCTGGAGCCCGTTTCGGCCTGTCAAATATAAAGAAATGAACGAAAATTAACAGCGTAACTTAACAATGTAGCACTTTCATACAGTGTTACAATGCATGTAGTGCATTAAGTCAAATAAACAAGGGAAATATAATTTTAACAAAAAAAAACGTTCCTTGGCAAGCGTTTAAACGATTTTGGGCGTTGGATTGAAACGTTGCGTACAAGAGAAGCTGCGCTTCGTGCGGGCGCTCTGAATAATGGCAGCGTAAATAACCGTTTGCTAGATGGGTTAATGCAGTTTATCCTGATTATATTGAATATATATTTAACGCACATTTCCTTTTCTTGTCTAACGATGGCAACGCACAGATTGTACTCAGCGAACTCTCGTCATGAGGCACTAAAGCTCAGCATAAAGCACCGAAATTATGTTACCAAATAATACAGCTAATATTGGACTGCATTTAAGGTCTGCCTAAGGACGAGAAGGAAATTTGCTTGCAGACGAGTGCTGATGGGGGTGAGGACGTCAAGTACCATCTAAATATAGCTGCCACTTGAATCACAAGGCGAAGCAAAGGTACTTCTTTGTTTTAGTAAACATCTTGGGACATCCATTTTTTTCGAGTGTTTTTTTTTACTAAGCAGCACCAGCGGCTTGTAACTTGTGACGATGTCCTCATTGCCTTCTAGTTAACTTGGTATTAACAGATAGCTGAAACTCTTGAATTTATTAAATCTACCCTTCAACTTTGGTTACCCGTCCGAAACTGTATTTCCGTTGTGCAAGCTTTCCGACGCACCGCACCGTTTACGCTCTAGAGAATGCAGGTGCTGCGAATAGCTTTAATCTTCTTGTCCTGGACGATGAAAACCTAGGCGACAATCCTTCGAAGAGCCTCGCACGACCAGGCCTGTTTGTCAGTCCGGCTTGCAAATACGAAAGGTTATGGCTCACGCGAAAAGCTGCTATCCATTTCCTATAAACGATTTTGACGTAGATCCACTACAGCTAACATATTTGTTTGCTAATGGTAGGACACGTTGTGGCCTTGGTTTGACCGAGGGCATAGAGAGACTTTGTTTCATGCTTAGAGCCAGCCGTCTCATGGAATGCCTAACGGCGATACTAGATGTAAAACTTGAAACATAGAGGTAAGGCAAGCGAGAAGCTCATTTCTCACTTGAACGCTTTTGCGGAAGATACCACAAAAAGCTTTCCTGATTGCGGTCCTGCGTAACGCTATCTAATAAGATACACCTAACGACAAGGCCAGACTGAAGCCAACCTTTAAGGAAAAAGAAAAAGATCAGTTGAAAACTGACTGCATTTTATTTCTTGCCGCTGTTAGTCGCACTGCTAGATATCAACATGCTCCGCATAATCTTTGTACGTTGGAAGTACTCCACCTGTTTGCACATTTGTGTCCAGCGCACTCGCAACATCATTGAGCTAGGCGAGCAGTAAACCGCTAGAAGAGAATTTGAATACAGGGTTGACTTTTAGGGATTGTAGAGTTCATCTACCAAACTCAGCAGTCAGCCTATGTCTATAGCAGAAAAAATCACTTGGTTGCTTAGCAAACTTGGCCTTACAAACAGACGGAATCAGCAACATTCTTCGGACGTCCAGAAACGCTCTGGTCTCAAATGCAACCATTCAGGACACTCGCACTGCCTCTTGCAGGACCTAAACATTAGGCAAAGCAGGGACAATTGCCAACCTCACCGAACCAAAGAGACTCCAGAAAAAACAACTGGAGCCCAAGTGCGTTTTCTAGCCAATGGCAATCGAGACATCAACAGTTGTAGGAAAGGATTTTGCATGCTTTTTTGAAAAACATGAAGAAGCGCATGGGTATATAGAAATCCTAGGAGGTTGGACGATAGCTCTCCCAAAGACTTTCAGTTGAAATTCAAGGAGGCAATACAGCGACAGCAATACCTGTCATCATGCTTCCAAACGATGATCTGTCTGGTCCAAGCGAGAGGTGTTGCAATTTTCTTAACTTCTTAGTTCTTGGTCAGTTAACTAGATAACTAGAGCATGCTGGACTTTCTGTGATCAAGAATAACGAATTCGTTGGACTAGCAAAGTAAGTTTTTCGTTTCTACGCTTGGTAGTGCCTTGAAGAAGAGCTTCAGGCGGCTGGCCCAGCACGGAATGAAGCGTGATTTTACTTGATTTTGAATCAAGACCACCTAGGATGTCTCATGTACAGCGGGTCGTTCGATTAGTATAATGAACTGATACTGGCACAACAGCTGCTATAATACTGATGCTTTTTAGTTGCGCAGATGACAGTCGAGATTCTCCCCATAATGTTATACTATATTTATGTTGCCTCTTTTTCATTTCAGCAAACACTCCAGGGCACACATTTTTAACCCAAATATGGATATGCAAATTACGGGTAAAATGTTCGTAAAATTGTATTAACCATTTCTCCCTACATGCTTTTATTACTTTTGATTAGTACGAATGTAAACATATTCCAAGATTGACGAGCTTTTACTTATAAAAACTTATTAAAAATCGTTGCACGTTCATAGAATTTTGCTACGTACAGCCTTTCTAGGCAGCGTGATATTGTTAGCAAAGAAACCTTAACCTATTGGAGTGTCGCTATTGATGCATTGACAATATGTAACCATAAGCATTGCTTGGATACGGAAAGTCTCCATAAATGTAGGAACTAAACGATTTTCTAAATTTTTTAAATTCAACCAAAGGTTGTTTTTATTCAGTTAGAGTATATCATACATGGCAATTGAAACTGTCAACGAGTATATTACGTTCGGTAACAAACACCTAAATCAGCCGAATATGTTTGCGACCTCAGCCGTGATGTCTTCCGGAATGTGGTCTCGGTCCTCGTTGGCTCACTCGCAGACCGCCTCCACCATGGCCAAATCCGTGTCCACCCGGCCTACCTACAGCGCCGCCCCCTCTGAGTGCAGATTCTGCCCCAGTGGGTGCCGACGATTGGATTGTAACATCTGCCGGATTCTTACTTTCTGTGCCTAGCTCGTTTGTGACGACGTCTGCGTGGAAGCCCGTGTCGTCCGCGTAGTACCTAATGCAGTGTTAAATAGATTATTTGGTCACGGCTGTTGTGTAGTACGTGCCATTGGCAAGGCTTGAGCCCGAAGTGTTCATATAATTCTAAACAAAACAATATTAAGATCATGATCATTTCTTGAACATCGGTCACAACGCAGAAGGGAGGCAACGGAGATAAAGATTGGGACGACGAAATGAGATGATCTGAATAATTAGTTGGGAATCGTCAGAATGAGTATCTAGTATCCTGATGATTTGAATACAGGTATCATCTATACTCGTTCATAATTGTTAGCTAGGGAATGAAATTAGTAATATACCTGACTTGTCTCGAGCGGCCATCCGCCAGCTCCAATGTGTATTCGCCAGTAACTCGGCCGTTGGCGTCTCCCTGTTGGTTGTGGGAATGAGAACCTTCATCATCTTGCGAGGCGTAATTGAATTCGAATGGTTCTGGCGGCCCAAAATCGTCAGCGCCTCCATGGCTGTGCGAGTGTCTGCCGCCTCTTGGACGGCCCCCTTGGACAACGTTGGCTGTCAAAAGCGCTAATGCGGCGAACAGAATCACGAGCGACTTCTGTGAATTGAGTAAACATGTTACCGAGCTTATTAAACCAGTGTAGAGTTAAATGAAGGTACTCGGAAATGTCTTCGCAGTGCCCTGACAGGATGGTACTTGTTCTAAAGAAGGATTGAGTATTTAATTTGTAATAAGTAACTTACACTCCTATTTTTTTCTCTCTTTAATCACTAGTTATATAGAAATATTTATTATGTTAATTAATTACCAGTCCACTGACGTACCAGTTATATAAACTAAGCTGGCATTGGATCGAACGTTAGGTCAAACAATGGCATACTCTATTGTAAGACATTGCAGTTAATACGCATACAATCATCTACAAGGATTCAAATGCTTTTCTGCTCGGATCACCGATCATCGATATAGAATCCGAGCTCTTAGGCTGTGCTGTCCATTCGTGCAAGTCAAATATGATACATATGGAAAGGACGTAATGCTCTTGCCAATTGTTTATTAGTTTCTGCTGGCTGTAAACTATCCAATAACGCGTGTACCTTAACATAGGAGCATAGGTCAGATAGGACGTGTTCTATGCTCTTACAAGAGGTAAACTCCATTCGATGCGATAAAAGTCCCCTGAAGAGTCTAAGTCTATTTGAATATATATCGACATGTCAAGGAGCTACTGCTTTCTGATGAGATGCGTTACACATTTATGAGATATATGAAGCCATCATGAATCTTGCACTCTACTGTCGTGCCGTTGTTCAGTCGATCATAGAAGGCTACAATGTATGGAGCTCAAACATAAAATTTTTCTATGAAAAAAAAAGCTTCTAGGAACGCCAACCAGAACCAACCAGGAGGTATTTTGTCAGCCACTATGTTTCGATATCATGTGGGCACCAAACATAAGCTGTATAAGTAGGTCATTTTTTTAGGAAGCTTTTAGTAATACAATGCGATCTACAACTAAGTTCCGATAAAGGGATCAAAACAGCAATGTAACATTATGGAACAGGTGTCTGTTAAGGTTCCAGTACAATCAATAATGAAGGGCATATAATAGCAAGTAAACATTTCTGATCGCACTCGTATATAACAGGTCTCTATAAAAGAATTGCAGAAATATGCCGAAAAAAAAAGGTTTTATTTGCTACAAATTACTACAAGTTAAACTTGTATAATGCTAACCAGGTCAGCCGTGCTGACCAAATTCAGATATTTAGATAGGACAAACAATATAAATCGGTGGATTAATTGGCACGATCTCACTCTAAATTTCTAACGTTCGTTATGTATGCCCGAATATTTATCAACATCATAGATTTCGTAAACTAAATAAGTTTTAAATTTAATTAAATTTGGCTTGAAGGAAAAAGCGGATAACCAACTACAATTGTGTCTCTGTGCCGTATAATAAAATGTTTTTGACTCTTTGACTTTGACATCTTCAATTAATACGCACTTTTTTTTTACCTGACCTTTGAAGAAAAGTGTGACGAGTTTCTCTCTACCTTGTAACAAAACAAAGAACAGATTGATGCTAAGCAATTGTATCTAGCATGACGATCGAATATAACTATAATAAAGGTAAATGAAAATTAGTTAATTTGTGCCGACTTACAAATCACTCTTCAGTTCTTACGGCGGTTTTTCGAGAGCAGCAGTGGGGCCCTCTGCTTTTTTTTGTACCGATGCACTTGTTGGTACTAGTTAACATTAAAGTACATACGCATGCAAGATCTCAGTCATTCAACCATTATGACCAGTGCGATACAACAGTAACTAGCTACAAATTCAGTAAATCAGATGACACCTGAACAGCAGTCATGCAGGTAGCCATTGAGGATAAATGACTTCAGAAGATTGATAGACGACTAATCATATAAAGAAATAGTAGAGAAGGAAGAGTACAGACACTCAACAGAGATACATTAAATAGTCTAAGTGGGTATCGCGTTTGTGATAACTCTCAGCAAGAATTTCATTTGCTTGCCTATGGCCAATGTTCTTGGAGAGCTAGGATTTGTGGAACTTACTTCATTTACACTGATGACGTTCGTCACTCACCATACTGTGTCGATGACAATTGATGATGAGTACAGAGGCAGAGACTTCGCAAACGTTTTTTTTTTTGTTATAGAAACTTCAACGCTCGTCGATCTCCGTTGGAGAACTTGTGATATCCGTGACTGTTATGCTGCTTTTATGTATCTCGCAGGAAGGATCGTTGCCTCTCGCCACCGTTGGCTATCGTATGGAAAGTTTCTGAGCTGAACAACAATAAAAAAAAAATGAAGTTTGTGATGAAAATTTGAAGCATTGCCTCACCCATTCTCCCCATGTACCCGGCTCGCTATATGGTATTGTCAGATCCTAAGTAAGCCTCCCCCAACGACTTCATGATGGCGCATTAGCTAAACGCCGCTGGGACAAGCAAGTTTCAGTGACATTGAAATAAATTACACCTGTAAGCGTTGCAGTGCGTTGTGTATGCTCTAGTACTTTGATAAATTTCATCAGAGAAAACCTATTCTGACTCGTTTAACAGTATCTGTTTCTAATTGGATATTATTTTAATGGGTTCAGAGTGTGTAATTAAGGATCTCTTATACATGACTTGCCCTCGTTTACTCCCATAACAGATTAATCAAATATAAAATTTTTTCAACCGCGTTTGGTAACATATGCTCAGACTCGATTCAGCCTACAAAATAACTAGGCGAACGCTTTATCATTCTTTTTTTTAATGAAAACGTAGATAAGTTTGAAAAAGATGGTTACCAGTATGATTCAGGCTGACATCAAGGCTACTTTGAATCATAAATCCATATAATAGCTTTAGCAAATGCACAGACATCCTACATGTATCAGTTATATACTACTTTGGGGCAAATTAAATCATATTTTATTTTGTTATATTGCATTTTTTATGATGGCGGATAGTATAAATATTGGAACTGGACTTGAGCGGTAACAGCTGTGGTTCAACTTCGAAAATCAGGGTACAAAACGAAACTGAACGTGTCAGGCTTCTTCTGAAGAATACAACAGCTATCATGGTCACCTACCAGGCGGACTTTGCTACACAAAAAGGACGCACCTGCTTTTCTCAATGCGGCATTTTCCTTCTTAACCTAATTAAAATGTGCGTAACTACCTGTTAGAATATATAATCGATATTGCCTGTCTCTATCAAATTTGTACGTTCTAACTGCGCTAATTCGTTCATTCGGAGCCTCGAATGAAAAAAACCGGCACAGACGACGTTGCAATACAATGGAGGTGGACACTTTTGTCGATGGATTAAAAGTAACTTGAAAAAGCCCCTAGTTCTCAGGGTAAGTGAAATATCCAGAATTTATTTATATCTATTTATTTTATTATCAATAGATGGTAATAGTTCAGCTATCAAGTTAGTTTAACTAATATTTAACTTAATGTTAAAAGGCAATGAAAAACTTTTAGATATGTAAGACAGTAATTGCTTATATTAACATACTACATCGGACTGATTGGTGCCGGAAGGACGGTAAACTATAGACCCAAGTCGCAGTTTAATTTGAGTAGACATGTATCAAATGAAATCATTGTGACGTTAGAATAATAGCCATGACTATTATCTAACTAGTAAGGCGGTGCGCTGATGTGAAACGATGTTCGGCCTTTCCGCAAAGGTCAAGAAACCAGTTAGGGTTTTTAATTGTAATCTCACAAAGTTTAGCTTTCCATTAACAGGAAATCGTCCGCCGATGGCCCGTAGAGGGCTCTACTCCTGAGAAAACTGATAGCTAATTAAAAATTCCTCTTTTTTTTGCGTTTCCAGTATTAGAGGAAGGGAACGGAACTTGAATCATATTAATGATGCTTCGTACTTTTGAAAATAAAAAGTTTAGATTCAGTTGGAACGGAGATGGAAGCTTATGAATACAGACTCAATTAGTTCCGATTGGAACTTGCGTTTTAGTTTAGTCGATATAGTCCTGAATAAGGATAAAAATAGAAAGAACAAAGTCTAAACTATATTGTTTACTAAATAATCGCCCCTCAATTTGGAATCAGTGAATACCGTACTGATACAACCCGTAAGCTATGCCTTAAGAACTAGCAGACTCTGCGATTCCTATAACGGTAGATATGAAAGTTCTTGTACGACCCTTGATCCGTATATTATTGGTAATGCTTTCATCATGGCAAAACTAAGTTCCCTTGCCGTGACCGTGTGTTAACAGCTATGCGATAGCGGGGGTATCGTCATATATCCTGTAAAGCAACATCGTTAAAGCAGAAGCTCATTTAGGTAAATTATAGATAACACAACTATTGATTGCCGTAGTAGAAGGTAGAAAGCCGTATGAATGAATAAAAAATCGACTTAGAGCACCCATTCAGTCCAAGCCGGCTTTATAACCAACTCCGAAGAATTATATTTTTGGCCGTTTTAACTGCCATATATTTAGTACGTTAGGGTATCACGATGTGAACGGGTTTAAAGAAAGCATTTTAAAAAGACATATTCGGACGCTTCTATTTGGACCATAGTTGAAGGAAATATCGACGTAACTAGCAGTTACATGAAATAGTTTTTAAGCAAATATACAATAGTACCTGATCGTGAATACTGCTGCAGACTAGTGGAAAAGACAGTTACTCGCCCGAGAAGCCTGATGCAGACTGGATGAGAAATTGGATCAAACGAATCAGATTATGATTATAATTACTAATTACCAATTTATTTCATCGGTATTTTTTTTTTCTGTTTTACTGTAATTCTTCTTCTGACAGAAGAAAGAAAGTTGAGTGTCCATTAAACATTGAATCATTAACGTGCCTTTGATTAAATCTGCCGACAAAAAACATCTCCAGCGCCTCATCAAACCTTCACGTTCCAATATGATCGAAATCAATGGGGAAGCCTTGTCACAGGATATTTAATAGAAGCTAGGACTACTTTGCTGGGATACAACAGTTGAAATACATTAAAGTTGTTTTCTGTGAATTAACTGTGCGATTGGATGAGCACCAAAGCAACGAGAGGACGAGCTTCTTACTCCAAATGGCTTTGTTTTTTTCACTATAATCTCCTTAATAACTTCGGTCTGAACAAAACCCCTCAGACTTTCGTAAATCACCTCGTACGATGCTTAATAAATTTGGTATTATGGAATATTATTTAAAAACTGATTCACTGAGAAATATACTCAACCGCTATGCGTTCCGAATTGAATTCGTTACCAAACAATAATATTAAACAAGGAGTTAATATATTAATGTCGTACTTGCCAGCGGTAGGCGATGGATGTTTAAATGTTGCCTGAAGTTTTTAACGTTGATACTCTTTTCTATGTTTTTCCAACCTGAAGCTAGGGGAGTAGACCTTCCGGTGCCTCGTTATATCCATCCATTTCGTTCTACTTTTACTCGGACTCTGCAGTGTTTATGCAGCTCTCTGACGCTTGTTGGCCTTTTTTGTTGAGAATTTTGGACGTCTTATACAAGCGACAAAAAAACAAACGGAAGACATTTTATCGGAGCTGTTTTCTTTTGGAAATTATCTACCAATTCACAAAGCAACCTTACAAGACAATGGGAGTCTACATTGTTTTTATATTTCAATATAAAATAATACGCTACATTGCACGTAACATATCCATTTTTAAATAACATTGTTTTGTAAGTATTCTATCTCAGCGTTCTAATTTCTATTTAACGATAGTCCTCTCGATATTGTTTAAGCTGGGTTTGTTAGAATCCTATAGATTCGTTAGCATAAAAAATTATTCCAGAATCGGCCATGTTTCTAACACCAAAGGGGGTTAGCATTGTTTTTCATACTTTTCTGCGTGGAAAAATGCTTGTGCTTCATTGTACTGCTTATCAAGATCGTTGTGCTCCTAACTGCCATATTCCACCCTTGAACTTGACATCATCGCTATCTTCTTGACGTTATTGAACATGAGGATGATCTATAAGTCTATCGTTAGTGTCGTCACTAAACGCTTGATGAAAGCTGAATGATACTATCGACTAACAACACATGTATACAAGTTCTTAAACATGATTCATTGTATGAACTCTTAACTAAACAAAAGAAAATTTACTATATTAAGAAACTATGTGGAGGTCACATTGCCGTTCAGTCATTGCACACAAATCGGTTGAAACGCTCTTAAAGATTCAAGTCTGTTTCAGAAACGTTTGCGCCTAATTAAACAAACATTCGATAGTATCTGTCTATAGATGCTACACTCATAGAACGTGTAAACAAACAATGTATCTCTGTCGGACATCTTTTCTGTAATTTGTTCAGCTGTGAAATGCATAGGCGCAGAATTTTTTCTATTCTTCTTAATGACAAACTGCCTGTAGGCGCGATCACTTTTTCCCGCCTTCTTTACTGTAGTCAATGTACAAGAGCCCCTTTTGAGAACCAGACGCCCCTTTCGGGTTGTCAAAACGCAAAGTTTTATCCAAGCACTGTCTATTAAAAGTTGTGGATCCGTATGTTAGTGGCAGGTCTAAAACAGTTACAATAGCGAAACCCGTTTCCCTCCCTGCTTTTCTCGTAAAGCGTTTGCAGTGTCATTTCCGACAAGATTCGCGAATGCCAGGAGCAGTTGTTAGGCTCATCGTATTTGTCGAATTTTAGGCCCGAACTATTTATCGTTCGGCGCATGCTTTCATAGGTCCTAGAATAAAAAAAAAAAAGCTGGCAACATGTATGTTTCAAATATCGTTTCACTGGTCCATGTCGTCTAACAGTGAATATACTCTTCTAGCCGCGTATGCGAACCGCTGAACATCACATGAGTAAGGTTTACCTAGCTAACATCCACATGATTAGAAACAAAAGACATGGATAGTCTCGAAGGCAGTGGTCGGTGCTCTAAAATAAAAGGAACGTTTGAAAGGATGTGCTGGTTAGAAGAACCGGGGGGCAGTAGCAGTGGGTACCGAAAATTTCGATCCTGCCAAACGCTAAGAACATTCTTGCATGACATATAATTTATTGGAACGTTAGAGTTAATAGTTTATGCTTATTAACTCGATTATTTATATCAATTTTAGATAAGTAAAGAAAATTTGCTATATTAAGAAACTATGTGGAGATCACGTTAAAGTTGCGGTTTCTCAAATCTCTTAACGATTCAAATCAGGTCGAACATTCTGCTGTGTTTGCGACTAATGGCCCTTTAAAGCGTATGTATGATAGATATACAGGACCTTAGTCTTATTTAAATAAAATCTTTTCTGTATAAGAAAAATATACACCGATTCGAGTAGTGCTCTTATATATATATATATATATATATATATATATATATATATATATATATATATGTATATAATTTAGAAACAAGGACATCAGTTTTAACAGAAAATAAGGTCCATTTCAGGGGACCGCTTTGCGTATATCTAAATGTGTTTCAAACGAGAAAATTTCCTACCTAGATCAAAGGCAAATTTCATGTGATCCTAAATCGAGGTAACTTATTATTCATAGGATATATTCCATGTTTTGTTTAAATGCCTAAATATGTTTTTCAATTTACTGATCACCGCGCTCTAGCTAGTTTTCTTTTGTTCTCGAACAAAAGGTGGATTGAAAGTTTTTTGGCGTTTCAGTACAGACTCACGGATAAACAATCATTGTATACTTTACAGGTAGAAGTAAAAGTTACGTATAGATAAAAGAGACAAGGAAATCGTATTAATCTCTATATTCCGGACCAGATTAGAGCCCGCAATGTTTCGGAGCTGAACAGGTGGTGGGGTGACTGGCGCGTACTCCAGCCCGATAGGGTAGTGTACACAAATTATCTATACGATTTGTATGTACTTTGCATAGACAAAGTAGCGTTCGCGAGATTTTTCTCTAAATACACCTATCTATAACGGCAATATATCTAAATAAATTTAGATATACTGCCGTTAACAAATAACGATCAATCACACAATAGATAGAAATGATAGAGCGTCCACGATCTCCCGCTGTGGCGTATTCGAATAACTAAGCAGATAAAGCTATTTCCAATCAGGCTATCGCTTTGGTCCGTATCTCCTTCGTCCAAAAAATCCAATAAGGTAGATAAGCTTTGCTAGAAACGATAGTCCGTAGTAGAAAAAAAGGTTTTCGAACTAATTATTTGGAATGTACCGAGCAAATGAATGCTCCGAATGTTTACATTTGCTTTAATATAATAATAATAATAAAAATAAAGCATTTCATGTTGCTGAGGGCATAAATGTGGGCGTTTTCTTGAGCCGAAAAAAACTGGGATTGTGATTACCTTATCTCACTGATCGGAATCGTAGCCGCTGAATGCAATCCGATAAAACGATTTGGCGTAATCGTGAATTTTTTTTCGGCTTAATTTCTTTGGGTATATGATATTATAATCATGACGATGTTGAAATACTCACCCGTATGGTTCTCACTCGTCAGATGATCCGCTGGCGACCTTTTGATTTCAGGTAGACCAGCAAAGATACGAGTACGCTCAAGTAACGACCTTTACCGACAGAACATCTATATAAATATGAGGTAGAAATTTGATTAATGAGTCAGTGGGTAAAATTGAATTTGCGTTGTAAGCGGCAAAAGATACGGGATGAAGTTGCAGCCGTGGGATGCAATTTGTGAACAGATAGATCACTATAGTGAACAAAGTTTAGACACGAAAAACTTTACGGCAAACAGACTTAGCGAGAAAAACGTTACGGTGACTCAAGTGGCGAATTTGTTGCTTATTAGGATTACTTCGTCGATTAGGATAGCTTTGAAATGCTTTTGACAAAAAATACACAGCCATAAATAGATCATCTATACTAACCATTAGAGATAAACAGAAACAAGCTCAAATACGGATACAGGTGTTTCATACAATTAACAGTTGAGCTCATAGTGAGAATTTGTGAACGGCTACTTGTGACAAAAATAAGATTGATATCTCTAGAATAAGATACTTCGGTGATTTGTTGTTTTTATACAGAACTTCCTGTTGCTACTGTAAAGTTCTCATGACCCGAATCGCAAGTTAGTTATATTCTTTGATCCTTGTATCTTTAGTTGGTCGCGCCATCTTCATTGCAGGGTCCGGGAGAACTCTTAACGGCATTAGCAGTTGGCGATGATGGCAAGCGGACATCTTGTCTATTCTCTCGCTAACAATCTATAAAAGTCCGAGGAAACGCCGTGCATTATTGTCGACTGACGGATACATCAGCTATCGCAATTTATATTTCCACTCTTCATTCTCTGTGAGACGGTGCTTATTGCGTATAGGGAATTCTGAGTTTTACTCTGTTTAGTACAGTCGTTGTCGTCATCGTCCGTTAATATATTGGAGCCTATCTTTCCAAATGGTAAGTTAGTGGCCTGTGTCAATGTTGTGCCGCGTGACAAAACAAACCGATATGTAACTATGCTGATGTTCGGTAAACGGGCAGTAAGGCGTTGCCCACCTGTAGGGATATGAAAAAACATATGTTTCTATGCAGTGTACCAATGTAGCTTCATGTATTCTTGCCAACGGTGTTTCGACAATCCCAGAATTAACCTCGCGCACTCGGTCCGCAAATGGGACCTGCATTAATTGATCGAAGCTTCGCCTTTTCTGTTCGTCTCCAAAATGCTTCTAAGCTGAGACTTAAAAGACTCGGTAGAAGCCAGGAGTAGTTTGCCACATTGTGCTCGGCTCGATGTATGCAACGTTATTCTGGTGCTATGCATTGCATACTTACGTAAAACTATCTATTGTTTCCAATAACGTTTAAAGCTTTAATTATTTTTCGAGAGATACGAAATGGGGGAATTACTTCGCATCTTTATAGTCATCTCAATTTTCGAAACCGTTTCACTCTACCTAATTCCTTCAGTAATGTTAAATATCTGTTTTATCTCATTTATGGTCATATATCGAAAGTATATCGTCAACCGTATAGGCCATAAATCGGATAAAGGATATTTTACTTCGCAGATAACGGCGTTTGCTTGTGTACCAAACGAATATATGTTGTTTAAAGCAAGCCCCATTAAAAAACATAAAGCAGAATGTTTGATGATACTAACATGGCGCTACGCGTACCGCTCCACGACTACAAAGGCGATTGCATCTTATAGCCAGACAGAACAGGATATTCGTCCAAGGACGCTAAGGCGAACTTCAGAATCTGCATCAGCCCTAATTAATGCACGCATTAATTATGATTATCCATGTTCGTATAGTTACGAATTTTTTTAAGTGCCCTTTTTATGCCCTTGTGGGCGGGGAAGCAGGGAAATTGTATCCTTTCTATGAAATTAACCTAGTTCTTACCTTAATAAACATTGTTAAGAAAGCTGCTATATAATACAGTATGTAATCATTCTGCGCACAAGTGCACATGCTGTTTTTAGCTTTATGTTGAGCTTTCGCCATGAAGCGTTTCGTGATATGTTGTTGGAAGCAAAACTTTATTATAGGAAAATGTGTTTACCGCATTGAACTTTCTGCCATGATACTGAGTACGCGGGCATTTTGACCTTGTCAAGAAATCAGCCGCTATGACGAGAGCATTTACGGTCCTCAGGGACGTTAGCCCGTGTCTAGTTTCGTTAGCAGATACTTAAGCTCAGAGAAAACTCACTGGAAATTTCACAATCGCGTAGGATACAAAATTGGTAAGGTTATCTAGTATACTACGATATAATAGGATCAATTAATTAAACGCTTATTGAGTGCGTAGTTATCCTGAAGCTAAACATATTTCACGACATCTCCAGAATTAAAGTTATCACATTTTTCAGATCAATCACTGCTAGCCTAATTTTGTTTCAACCAAGCACGCTGCGATTATATAAGCAGCCATTTAGACGAATATATACCTCGTCCAAAACGTGAAGAAAATTCAGAACCGATGATCAAGTCTCGGATTGCTGATACTAAAATGCATCGGATGATTGCCATGTCCACAGAATCCGTCGTTCGCCGCCGTCTTTATTGCTACGTATTGCCTTATGTTGACGAGGGTGACATGGGGCCAACGTCGCCAATCCCCATTCAACCGTTTCGGAGCTCGCCTCCAAGGCGACAGTAGCAGGGGCCGGCACCAAAATCTTTCTCCGATTCCAGTACCAAAAGACTACGACTCGCTGGAGCCGTTTGATTTTGCCTATGCGTCCAATGACGACGAAGGTTCACATTCACACAACCAACACGGAGACACCAATGGACGCGTCAATGGTGAATATGAAATTCAACTAGAGGATGGACGCTCCCGGGTAGTCAGGTGAGCACTTGCCACTATTTATTTAGTACGAATTTCAAACATGAAGGACTCTGAATACGATAAATGAATAACTTCACAGGTATATCTGTTGCTTCTATCTGAAGAAGATATGTTACAGTTGACTATCTAGTTTGTATGTTCCTAAATCTAAACATTAAGACTTATCTTAAGCTATACAATAGTGCGGTCGGGGGACGAAGGCACTGTTTTCTTACCGCTGGCTTGACGGACGTCCAGTTACTTTAAGGTCTTGACTTTGACTTCCAGGTAATCATGGTCATTGCGTTTAGCTTTTTACTAGTTTTACAGTTGGATGAAATCCATGATTTATTTCTAGTGCCGCGCACTGAAAGCTGTTAAAGGTGATGAAAATCTCTAACTAACTATACGACATGCAGTAATAGTACATAGGTCATAGGTCACGAATAGCTGATCGTAGGAATCGTATATGCTTTTGAAGTACTGAATACAAACATCGCTAACAAGGACCCCTCTGTCATTTTCTGCGTACTCCAGTACGCAGACCATGTAATGCGGTATTCAATAACGGGATCGAAACATTTTTTAAGTATTTGCTCGACGTCACAATCTCAAACTGACTAAAAACTAAAGGTGACCAAGCTTTCCGTGTCGCTTTTCTCTAGAGATGTTGAAAATTTCCTTGAACGAGCTTCGTCACTGATTGCCGAAATTACATAACTCCGCAATGTCTTCAGCCGAATATGAAAAAGCTGCAAATCACTTATTTGTTTATGTACGTGTCGTATCCTAGTAATCAGTCTGTTCGTTCTAATATCTAATACGAGAATCAAACGTCGTGAACGTACTGCGCTTTCAATGTTGTCGTCTATCCTCTATCGCAACAGGTACTATGCCGATAATTCGGGCTTTTACGCAGACGTTGTAACTAATGAATTAGGCACTGAAAGTCAAGATCCCGCGGACGTGACGATTCGGTCATCGGCGCCTACCGGGCCCGAAGCCGCCGTAGCCACAAGGCGGAGTTCTCGGCCGCGCAGACCACATTTCCAAGGAGGATTCAGACAGAACCACAGACGTTTCCCATAGAATTCGTCGTGTAGAATATTAACGAAAACCCATCACTTGAATTGAATTGAAAAAATAACGTACATATTTCGTTTATGTTTGAATAAAAAAAAAAAATACAAGAAATCTGTAGTCGATCCTTTAATATTTGTTTGTATTTTTACCAATACTACATTTCATAGGCCTGCAGCGTAAATGTGGTACTGGCGGGTGCCAGTGTTCATTGAAGCAGTGAATTTTCAAGCTGCGCTAATGGATGCTATTAAGAGTCTTCGTACAGAAAATCCTAAGATTATATTTCGCCATTTTTGAAGTTTATATAATTTTTCATCCCTTCTGATGTCTCTAACAAACTGACAAGTTGTCTGAAGAAAATTGATCAAAGAGAAATCGATACAAAGCTAGGATTCTCCGGGAAAAAAGTGCCTAGATCATGTTTTCCCATTTTTTGTTTTATATTGTAACGATGCCTTACCACGATGATTTAAACGATGCGGCATTTTTTAAAGCCGACCTTGACCTATAATATAGGTCTCTTGCTAGTTCTAACCTAAAGGACGCTAAGTAACTCCATTTTTAATTTTTCGCATAAACAACCAATGAGAAGTATTAAGATCGATCGTAGCTAAAATCTACTTTGACAATGAAAACTCGAATAGCTTGAGGCTTGATGAACTTGAGACTCACCTGTTTGTGATGCAATATGCAGCACAACGTTTGGATAAGTTAGTGCCATGTCACAAGATATCACCACTGTAAATGATTGCCAAACACGTGCCTACATATTCACGTAGGAACCCACGGCACGCCTTATAAACAGCTGAAAATCTCGATAACGTAACAGTCTCGTAAAACGCTAATGTGTACAACATGAGCTATGCGAGGGGTACAGTGGCGCCTGTAATACTATTATACCACAAGCTCTGAGAAACAGGTTGTTTCCAACTGCCGGGGGAGCTTCAATTGGTTTTTGCCTATTTCCAATCACAGACCTTCAGATACTAATGTGGTCAAACTACGCGGCAGCTGAAATTACTTATTAGCTAATGTCACACGACTTTATAGACTGAATAATAGTAACCTAAATAACTCATTATCTTTTGCTATCTTAATTAGGCAAGCATGGGAAACCTTTATACTGTAATCTGACCTGTATAGTGATCTGACCTGTGCCATATTGTATGAAAATATTTCGTCATAGTTATTTTGCAATAGCGGACACCATGTGGAAAACCTTTTAGCGAACTCGTGTTCGATAAAAGCAGCCGCAGGCGACTTACGTGTCAGTAGATCCTGACAAGATTCCTAAAACCCATACGACCCACCCCAAGAAAGATCATATGGAAAGTAATAATATTCGGTGAAATTTGCTCCGCGACTATAATAATAAAGCGACTAATCAAAATGATTCCAAGTCAATTTCTCGGAGGAAAATGTTCATAATCTCGCCCCTATAGGCCCTATAAAAGGCTATAAAAGCCCCTATAGGCCCTAATGTAAAGCAGCGATATCGGAGAGGAGACTTTCACTCTGGCCGTTCTTTTTGTTCCAGGACGTGCCACAATATACACTAACCAAAACGCACAAACTTACTTCCTCTGATTTCGCTAAGTGCTTAAACCTAGTATTATGACGACTGAGCTAAGTAGTAAAGAAAAGTGCTGGTACTATTCACGACATGTTTACAAAAGACGTATCTAGATAAAATGCGTCGGTCCATTACACACAGACTTTAACTATCGCAAACATCTGTTGTGTACAGTGAGAAATCGAATAGAAAAAGTCTGCGCGACTACTAGCATAGTTGAACGAAGCATAGATCGGAGTATCGCTAGTTTTACAGTCCTCGGTTTCTAGCTGACTAGGCTTAATCCACTAATAGGAGTCAGACTATCCAAATAGCTTTTGCTTGGTAACTGCCGTGAAGAATAGTGATCGCAGCCACAGTTCCTAGAGAAGGTAAAATAAAGGCAAGCGTTGGCGAAGCGAGAATCACAACTGTCTACAAGTAGGATTTTTCTGGGCCGCGTATGTGCCTTTAAAGGACGTGTGGGTTAAGCTGCTCGCGACATAGCTGATTTGCTTTGGGCTTCTACATATGGTCATATTAAACATGATGTTCTGGCTGAAGTATAAACCATTCATTCAGTAATAGACTCTTCGGACAAAGAAAATAGTCACAGAAAGCATAAGAATTATACCTAAATCCATAACGACAAAGTTTATCATAAAGCAAAAAGGGCTGAAAACGTAAGAATATGGCTCATATCGACGTTAAGTGAATGTGCATGCCAAATTATCTTCGATAAATGCTAATGGGAGCCTGAAATAAGTGACAGTATCCGAAAAAATCCTTGCACAAAAGGACACAATTCACCTGCGCTTCTACCTGAATGCAATACACCTTATCAATGTTATAGGAACTGGTAATCAAACCTATTTGTTACGACAACTTTAGTGAAATTAATGAATATCAATATTATGATATATATGCGTACATTTACGCAATGTTGCACTAAATAGTTTTCCTTATATACCATATCTTACATCTGGTCGCTTTCACTACATTATTCCCATTTGAAAGATAGTATGAACAAACACCATCCGATTTACGTATTCGAAGCGAAACAAGAGTTAGTATATCTGAATATTATCGATAATATTAGGCGATGGGATATAGCACTTTGAGAGAATGGTTAAGTTATATTGTTGCCTTGTAGACTGACATCACCAGGGCAAGCTTATTCCGCCGAGTGTGGAACTTGCGGCGTTTAGATTCGTTTCCGCCAAAATCGCTACCTACAAATCTTAAATATCATTATGTATTTCCGAACGAAATTTAGACATAGACCTCCTGACATTACTTCAACCAGACGTCTCGATAGAATCAAGTTAACCTGTCGTGAACAAAATGAACTCGATTGGCAGATCTGGCATCACACATGTTACGCGGCATTAAAGAGAATCTACTAGATTGACCGATAAAAGATTTAATATGAAGGCCTGTGATTAACTGCATTCAAAGCCTATAAATTAATTAATAGCTGTAATTTAAGGCTATGTTTATTAAGTCACAAGGAGAACAAACTTCTTCTAAGTTGTTTCACAGTTCTGTCAGGTCTTCACCTGCTATCTCCAGGTTCCTTCTCAATTCCCTTTAAGTACCAGTTTGGATGATGCCGACGACGACGTCTATATTTTCCATTGTCCAGATCATTCCTGAGTTTTAATGTGAAAAAAATACATTCGGCTAGGGCCAACTTCTCTGTTCTTTAAGGGACCTTCTCTAGATAGAATTCTAGGCAGCCCTAGGTCCCACAACATTACCTAAATCAGTCGACGTTTAATTTAATACAACAGCCCTAGAGAACAACAACCTATGCTAAACGGTTAGTTACAGATACAGGTTAAACCTAGCGTTTACCCGCACCGATTTTAGGCGCTGTCCGCCCTCTTAACCATGCTAGTCTTATAATATACAGAGGTTGCGGAAGTATCCCGATTTGCTTGTCACCAACTAAATCGCTAAATGTCATTGACAACGCGGTGATAGTAAGAAAGCTCAAAGCACCAGTTGGAATCGATCTGACGCGTCGTCTCCATTCGGTAGCCCTGCCAGTATCTCTTATGGCCGGGATAATTCAAAATCAGCCATCGATACCAATTACCTGTCCAACTTGTGCGTTCTTCGCCAGTCTCGCCGGTACTGCTCTTATCGTTGCAGACAAAGCAGCTGATACAGGTCTCGCGCTGTCTACGCTTCCTCGAGTGCAACCAAAATTAGTCGCAGACAATGTGGTTTACAAAGTAGACGCTGCTACTGCTGTCAAAGAACTTACTGTGAAAAAGCAACCCATACAAGGGTCAGTGCAAATACCTAAGGAAGTAAACGCCAACACGGTTGAAAGCCTACCGTTAAGACTCGAAGCAGGAACGGCACCATCCGTCGAAGTTCCTGGTTTATCACGGAACACTGTTACTACTTCCGACGAACGGACAAAGGCCAAGCAAGCGTCATCAAGTAAACCGTCGTATGTTATTTCAGCGCATGGCCTTGTGTACTATTACTATTACATATTTTTATAATAGCGCAATAGTCATTAGACTTATTGGTTTTTGTACCTAGCAGCCTTTTCAGTATTGAGGACCGTGGACATTTGTTATTTCTGTAAGGCTAAAGCAGAGGATAACACCCCTTCTGTTATTTACTTCCCTCTGATAGGGAGGTAGTCTGGGAATAATGACATGTCAAGTTACACCTAATCTTCTCGATTAAGGTTGATGAAGAGCGAAAAGTAGTGAAGATATGCGCACGAGTTCTCGTTTAATCGTAGTAAAACATAAATTCCGCAGAACACCTCTTACATACTCCCAAACGAAATAAGTTTATTTGGTCAAAATATATGTCACTATGTAAAATAGTATATTTGTACCAGATAAACTGAGGGCACGTATGTTTATACATATATACTCTGTCTATGTATTTTTTTCTCTCTCGTTTCAAGCTCTCTAGAAAAGACACCGCAAGCAGCTAAGGCGATTCCTACGCCAACGGCAGCCCCCAAGTCTAATACTGAAGAATGGGCAGACTTCAGGGAAAGCGCCCAATCGAACTACCTACCTGAAGTCGAAGAGATTTGTGGTATAACGAAGGAATTTATGAAGCGCCTCGACGATTTCGATCTGTCGAGTGAAATTTTAATTCCCGAAGGCCTCACGGATTTTATCACCCGGGAAGACGATGATCTAGCAATCTAAGGCAAATGTTTATACAGGAAGTCCCACTACAGAGTGGGAGCTTTCGTTCGGCGGGGACCCGCTACTTTGTCCATGTCCAGAGTGCTACGCCAGCCACGAAGAAGTCTTCACTTGCTGCTGCCTTCGATGAATTTTAGTTCAGCGCCTTACCGGAAGCTGATGGCATCAAAATGAATACCCAAATAGCGAAAACAACTTTCGAATCCGTGAAGTACGGCTCGAACAATCCTGCGTCGAAGCAGTTCTGTTTCAAAGCGTATCATTTCGATCGATATTAGCCTATTATTTTTCTATAAGTTATATGAGACAGCCGGTCAATAAACTAAATAAACTCTTTCAAAATGTCGTTTGAATGTTTTATACATATATACTCTGATTTGACAATTTGCCTAGTTAACGATTGCTGGGCAACAAGTGCAGAAAACTTAACCCGAAAAACTTGCCACTGACAGGCCTCATTGAACAGCTAGAGCAGCTATAATAAGGATAGTGTATGGTGCAGTAACAGAGTTATGTTTTATCAAATTCGAACAATACATAGAGTACAGAAAAATGCAGCAATTCATAGTTTTTGTTCTACTACGGATAAACGGTGATTTTATCTCAACTATAAACACGCTGTCTTCTACAAAAAATAGCGAAACAATTAACGTCGAATAGCAGTAAGGGCTCGTAGTCCTTCAAATCGCTAAGGCATGCTTTTATATTTGTGGCGGTTTGTTGGTCGGACCTGATGGTATTAACGACAAAAATCATCGTCACAATCTCGTTCGATCGTTGTCGTAAGAGAAACGTAGCGTATTACCTGTACACCACATAGCCTGGTCACCGTAGTAATTAAAAACAATATTTTCTAGTTAAAACTCAATATCAAAGGAAGCTTATGTTTTACTCTGCCAAACACTGGGCGTTAGTTAACAATAAGTTACTAGAAAAAAGCGATACATTCCGCCGCACGGTAGGGTGATTGATCAATTAATTACACGCCACAATATTATACGTAAACAAATGTATTGGGGGCAGAAATTGTCCGTCCTGTGTAAATTAAGTCATTTAGTTAATTAGGTTTAGAAGTTTCCACGCCACTAGAGAACGCAGAGATAGCTTTATAAATGGTTTTTTCATTGTTGCAACTACCGCAGGACTCTATATGAGCAACGTCCCCTCTATGTACGTTCATTCAGCAACATACCGAAGCCCGCCAAGATAATATTTACTATTCGATAGGCTTCACTATCCAGAACGTCTTCTGAATATCAGCTGCGCTTAATACTAGCATCTGGTTGGTTATCTTTCTCCAACAAGCGCCTATCCGTCGTCCGGGTTGAGTCGGTAAGCGATCAGTAATCAATTCTTTACGTATATACTTATACCTACAGACCGTTTGCAACGATCAATATTTTACTTCGTTTGTTCAGATACGCTTTTAGTTCATCCCAAACGTGTCGACGGTGAGACGACCGTTTGTCCTTGCGTGAGCTTCCAGCTAACAGAACAGCTCGTACCAACAAGAAAGATGACCAAATCTCCCTAATCCATAGACGCGATGCTGGCTGAATGACATCACAATAGCTCAGTCGTTGGTTAGTTGAGTAAAATCGTCGGGCTGACTTGCGCTCAACTCGTACTTCTATTAATTCTAAACGCCATCATCGGAATATGCGCTTCTTCGCTTGTACACGCTCGCAATATAGACCTGTTTGGGAAAGATTGTATTGTCTCTTTACTTGGGCGAATAACGAAGATTCCCGGATAATGGCGACAAATACGAAATGATTGAATGCGATGTAATTGTGAGTTACTTAATATAGCGAGAAAAAGAACATCTGTGACGCTTCGTTCACGAACTGTAGTTCCCACGTAAATATTGTTGCACGGTTAAAACGATCGAAACACTGAGCAAGCACCTACGGATCTACAACAGGTACTGTTGCAATGGTACGGGACCGTACGAAGTATTTATTCCACTTAAGTATGGAAGAAGCTGTTGATGTATGTAGCGTAACAGGTTTTGCTGATTAACATCTACAAACGATAGTTTTGTCTGGGGCATCATATAGTTTTTATGTTGCTTCCTCGTCTGCGAGGACAAAACCAATTGACTAGTGACGTCTGTAGTTGACTAGAGATAAAATTTTAGTAATAAAAATTGGATCAGCTACATAACTACTTCTTAAACAATATACGAAAGCATGGGTTGATTGTAAACAAAGAGCTGCGTGACACAGGTCCCAAATAAACTAGATGCAAATATTTTCATTGAAGAGGTGCTCCGATTGCTGCCTATCTATCAATTCAATGTCGGAAGGCAAGAAGGCCCTACGGTTGACGAAGTAGGCCAAACAGTTACATGAACCTGGACGTAGGTCGACAATTGGTAGTGTGCATTCATGGAGGCCGAATCTGACTTATACTCTCGATAGTAGTATAGTGTACTATCGTTTCTCTACAACCTAGGTGGGAAACCTCTATACACGAACAGTACGACATAGCTTCCCAGAGCAGGTACTCTAGTAAATAGAGATGTCTATAGGTCAGCAAGCGGGTTATGGAAAAACATCTTCGTAAACGAACTTTGTATACTGTTACATCGAGATTTCTGACTTCATTCTAGAGAACGGATTGAAATACAGCAAGGCGTATGAACAACTGTGCAGACGTACTAGTTATAGGAAAATCAGTGGTTCACTCTAAGAGCACTTCTTCGTGACGTTTTACTTCGTCATTTAAAACTTGTTCGATGGATCTGTTTGCCTGCGCAGGTCACGATTCTCCCACATCTTTTGTACAATACCGAAAGACAAGACACACAATTCTGTTTGTTCGGTATCGTGTCTCAAACGGTTACACGATCCACGCATACAAATAATAGCTTAACGCTTATGCGTAATTCAGGCTCTTTTTTTCTGCAATACAGGAAAGTTTATTGCTTTTTCGGAAACAAAACTTCGACGCGTTTAGGCGTCAGTCCTTTCTTTTTTTTCTGGATAGGTTAAAAGTTTATGGGGCAATGAATTGCACGAAAATAGTTTTATGTAATCATTATTCTCTGTGTATGGTTAGATACTAGGCTCGTTCATACCGAAGAGTAAGATCAAAATACCAGTTAGAAACAGTTACGCAACGCGTAACCTGTGTTTTGCAAGGTAGCCATCCTCACTCCAATCCGGCGCTTTCGTGATTCGAAAGCCCAAACGTCTGTCAAAGCGTAGCAAAGGTTGATAGTATTGTGTGACGCTTTTCGCAAGGACCATTGCTGATTGCGTATGTATGTATGTATGTATGTATGTATGTATGTCATTCGACACTTAATGGCCAGCTAAAAAATGACCGAAGTACAACGCGATTCCTTTTTATCATTTTTTTTTAAAGGAAGAACATGATTGTAAAATCGATATATTGTATATACGAATGCTAAATTATCTATACAAATCAACGCTATTGTACACTAACAGCGTAGTCTTTCGGACCCTTCGTTCCTGCTTCCATGAGAAGGCACGAGCATATACACGTTGATAGCTTTAGCTCTGGCCGGCTACTTAATCTATCCGATTTTGTTCACTCTAACCTTATTTTATTTTTTCAGGATGCTCGCGACTCGGCGGGTGAAGAGGTCGCGGCAGCAGATGACGCAACTTCATCATCCTCAGAGGATCAGATAGCTATGACAGTGACAGCCATACCCCCGTCGGCAAGTGGGTCTGCGGAGTCCTTAACGACGCCCACAACAACTGTTGTTGAAACTCCGATGTCAACAACAGACTCGAGGCCCGCGTCAATGAAAGCATCCGTTGCGACCGTGTTGTCAAACCCACTGTTGTCGGCTACACCGGAAACAAAACTTTCGGAAGTGCCCATCCCTTCGTAGGTGTCGTTGTTTTCATAATTATGTACTAATTTTTTAGCATATTTAATCGCTCTATGCTGTTATAACGTTTCTTCGAAAAAGTAAAATAGTTGTTATTTGTGCATTTGTATACCTAGCATGATACTATACGGATATGATCAGGTGGAAGGAAACATGTTAGAATTATGACCGATAACAGCTTTGTTCAAAAGTAAGTTTTGACTGTGTATGCTAGACTTTCTATATTGTCTAGGTGCGAGTGACTGCGCGTCCCAGATATAAGGTGCGCCATATTGCTACATACGTTAACATTAACTAAATAGATTTCATTGCTGCATTACAATAAAGCGATACATCCGAGGTGACTTCTACTGAAGGCTTCAGTGACGCATGGCAAGATAACCTTCGGTTCAGAAGGTCAAAATTTCAATTTGGACAAAAACGCAAACCGGTACGTGTATTGCTGCGCGATTTGTCCTCCCCCGTACAATACGTACATTTGTTTAAAGACAATTACCATATATCAAATGACGACATTTATCGCTTTATGAAAAAATGTTTCCATTGCTGTAGCTGGTCCCTTCCAGCACGAACCGGAACCGCACCGTGTGTTTACGGCCGGTTTCGGTATTAGAACTCCCCCGTTTACTGGTATATCGTCACTTCACCGTCACGGAGATCGTTCTGTCTGTTAAACCGTTTGCTATTGGCCGTTGCTAATTTCCGCGCTTGGCAGTTGCGTCTGCAGAGAATGAAAGGACAATTTCCTAGAATGTTTTTTTTTGTAGGCATCGCAGAAATTGCGTCGAGAAGAGCCTGTGGCATCCGAAACAGAGTCCGAAACATCGATGTTTGTACGCGAAACACAAATGGCATATAAGAGAGAAAAGAACGAGGTCAAACAAGAATCAGACAAATTGACCGACAGGTCAATAGTGGCAACAACGGTAAACGGAGCAATCGAGACTGTTGCAGAAGCGTGCGTTTTTTTTTCGTTTTAATTATATTAGGTAGTTGGTTACCGCATATCTCTTTGGTTTAGGCGTCGGACTCTTTCTATTAGAAAGATTACTTTGTTACTACTAATTATCTGTCCTGATCGTTATCTGTATTATAATATTCATTTAGATTGAATAATTTTAAGAAATTCTGTGTGCAGTCTTTACAATTGTTCTATTGTATTTAACTCCGTTAAGATACAAATGGGACAAATTTGTATGGCAGGCAAAAAAATCGCAGTATAAATTTAATGTGAGAACGATTCCTATTTAGCTGCGTTACCTGTTTGGTTTTTTCTTCCGTCAAAATTATAATGGGTTACGCTGAATTGGGTGACGGGAGTATTTTTCACTTCCTGGCTATCCTTCCTACTAAAGCACGGCTTCGCTATTGCATCGAGGGTCCAGCTCATTAGAACGAATAGTTGAACTGGGTCTCGTTTGACTTCAAGGTTTTTTCAACATTCTCAGAACGATTTCAGACTAGTTGTACCGTGTTGTGAGACGTTAAAACTTATAATTAACATGTGCAGTTATTTCGCCGCCACTGCTGTAGACAAATACCTGAGGAGGACTCTGAAGAATCGGCGCATGAAGAGATGTGGCACGAAAACGTACAAAAAGATTCACCCCCTCCAGCTAAATATACAAACGTGCCGATCGCAGTACATCGGCCGGCAGTACATCGGGACGATGTCCCGCGCAGTACAAAGGTTCCACCTGTTCGTCAGAACATAACGAAGAACCCACGGGGCACAGCTTCGGAAGCACAGCTTCAGCGGCTGGTTGATGAAATTGCCAAACTTAAAGAAGAGATTTTGAGACGTCAGGTAAGCGAGAGCTTTACTTGTTATTGTTTATTAACGCGCTTTGTTACACACTCTATTTTGAAGGATGCGTGTTTTGTGGCCACTTGACAACAAGAGTATTTACATTTATTTTGATTTAAAAACTCGATTAAGTAATCGAGGAATTTTAGTAGAAATTATAAAGTGCATAAAGTTCACTTTATAACGCATTGAATTATTCTGTTCAAATTCGGTTCGTACTTTATGGATGGCCAATGTTTGTAACTTGGACGCTTAGCAACTAATTAATAACTTAGCAACTAGCCGTCAACTTTGCTGCTATTCTCGTAACTAATAGTTACGAACAAATTACGAGCGAACTCCTCCGGCATCTCAAAGTGGTCGTGGGAATGTATAGACGGAAACGCATCGGCTCAGCCGAAGCCTAAGCTTATACTTTTGTTGTAGCCAACTGTCAATTAAAATGGAGAACAAAATGCCATTTTAGTTAACCCGGATTATGAGCCAAGAAAACGCATACCGTAACCGTACTCGCCAATCGGAAGTAATACATGTCTCTTATGTTTACATAGGCTTGTTAGATTGTTTGTTAACATTAGATCAGCTGTGTAAATTTATCAGTGTCAATTGCAAGCGTTTAGAGTTTTCCAACCTGCCGTGATTGCTTCTGGACTACTTGGTTTCCATCCACAAAATCTCCTACTTTAAAACTGAACTCACTCGTCGAAAGCTATAAATGCTAAAATCGACCATCCAGTCATTGAACAAAATCTTCCAGAACATTGTTTCGATCAGACCACTCTCTCTAGAAAGAATAACATCTGCCGACAAAATGTCAGGCTCGTATGCAAGGGCCATCTCTGTTTCTATAAACCTGTCGCGTAATTATGTTAGATTATGTGAGAAATCTCGGTCAAGCGATACACAACACAGGCCCTCCAACACTCCCTTCGTGCTCTGTTAAACAATGAATATATTGGCCTAGAAAATGGACCATGGCTATATAGCCATTACCAAATATTTGATGAATCTTACTAAACAGCATAAACTTTGACCTGTTTGTCGCAAAACTGACTTTCGTGTGACAGCAAGCCGAACCAACTGCGGTGCGTTGTTCAGGCCTAATGTGCGACTTCAAACCTAGATTAGGCCGTAAGCCAAAAAGATGAGGCACATTTTTTTGATTGATTCAACGATGTTTCACCGTGGCAAGTTACATTCTGCACCTCAAATAGCTACCCGCATACCCACGAAAATACCTACGACGAGAGCTAAATGCCAGCAAGAGATGTTCCGCTATATATATGTATATATTTGGTCTGGCAGGACAGGAAGAACCTGAAGCACTAACACATCGTAGATTACATGTGCAGCAATAAAGAGAACTACGAAGAGACGCAGGAAATATAGCACAAGGGGGAGACTAATCTATAACAAGGTACCACTATTCCTGTTGTTTCTTAGAATGATGACAGCAGAACAACAAACACAATAGTAGAATACGGCTATCCTACCCGAATCGTTGTTCTTACATTTGCGACATGTTTCAATGGTTACAGAGAGATTCCATAGCTCTATTAAGCGCCACTCCACCAGCGGCGTCCACTCCACAGCCACAGCCGCCGCCGCCGGCGCCATCGCCGCCGCCATCGCCAGCTGGGGTCGGCTTCCAGGGCTATGCCCTTCGAGAGCCGCCCGTTCAACCAGTTGCTCCTTTGCCCGCATATAACATAAATGACCAACCTCCTATTCAGGCAGTAGTAGAAGTTAAGGGGCAAATGAAGGCCGCAGAAGTAAATCGAGAGATTATAGCACAAATTGCTAAACAACAAACCGAACTTCAAATGAAAGTAGAGAAAGTAGCGCAGAAGACAATAAAGCGAGAGAAACCGTAAGTGTAAAGCTTTTGACGAATCTGTTAAGTGGTGATACTATATTATTGATTGCTAAACAAAGCATCCACAGTAAAGTGGAACAGGGCTTTCATAGACGGCTAATGTAAATACCACCATAATCGTGTGTTTAACTCATTTCAGTATAGAACGACGGTTCTGAACGTAGAACGAAAAACATTCGTCAGGTCTTACCAAGAGTTAATAGTGTTTCGAACAAGGACAAAGGAAGATGTGAATCTAATCAAAACTATAATTCAATATGCTGGCTAAATTCCCGCACTAAGCAGGCAAATACCTAGGAGTGAGGCCTGCTATTCTAAGCAGGATTCACACGTTACATTTTCACAAAAAGTTGGCGAGACAACGTTTGTTACCCAGCCGTAGTGATCTCTGTGGCTACAGGGGCAAGCAATATGGTGGCTTAAACACCTTATTTGAATGATGGTGAACCATCATTCAATTTTTATTTATTGATTTTTATTTTTAATTTATTATTTTTATTTCAATTTATTTATATATTTAATTTTTTTATATTATTATTTTTTATATAATTATTTATATTTAATTTATTATTTGAATGATGGTTTACTTTAGTCATGTGTTTGTACCTTAGAAATGTCTGGGTTTAGGCTCGTTCAAATTAGTAAACATAAACAATAATAACTGTAATGGTTATCTTATTTGGTTTTAAGGCGGTCCCACGATGAACGTCATTGGGATGAATTCAATGAGACTAAAACGCTAGCTCGACTGCCGACGGCCAAGGTGTTGAGAGGACCGCCAGATGGGGAAGATGTTGAATCGAGCGAGATTCTCATTCCTGACAGCCTTACAGACTTCACACAGGTTGATGACGAGGCTGAGCGACGGCGCAACGCTAGGGCTCCTCTCAGTGATGTGCGTATTTACTCGATCTATTATCTTCATAATGCAAATTGCAAATACGTACACGTACGAAGATCATTTAGCACAGTGCTATAGGGATGTAAACTAGAACGCGCAAGCGCTTAGCTTTTCATTACAGCTGGGTGGCATTGTTACGTTGGTAGACCTGGGTTCTATATTGTGAAGCGTTATTTTGAGAATGGGTTGCTACAAATCGTCGATTTAAGCTATCCGTCCAGCCTGAAGTCGTTGAATCTGTATGAAATACGTGCTTGTTTGCACCTAACCGTAACCCTAAAGGTAAATTCAAAAAGATCTCCCGTTTTTGAGCACTTGCATTTATTTTCATTCCAGTACGCAAACGACCCAGATCACCCTACTCGTGATCCCAAAGGAAGCGCAGCACAAGGGTACGTTGAATTGATATTCTATAAAATAACCTAAAATTTAGAATACATGGGAATATGGGTGTGGCTTTCAATTCTTGTCGGCTGTGTTACTTCCGCTAGTTCCATCTTCCAGTTTCATTCATCTGCCACTCCATCACCAATACCGAGATTAGATAACTAAGTATTAAATTAGTATTTGTACTTACTAGTCATTGTTAATAGCACTTATCTATGAATAATTAGTGGCGTGTGGTACAGTTGGTCTAAATCGAAATATCGTACATTGCCTAAGTCAGTGGATTTTGCCTATTCAAACTAATGACCAAAACAATTGATCTGGGCCCTCAGTAGAAGTTACAAAATTACGTTGACATGCGTCATGGAAATGGATTTCCGTAAAAGATTTCAGCAACAACAGTCGCGACTCGGCTCGATGTCTTTGTGTGTGTGGGGGTTTCATCAATTCATTAACCACAAGATTATTGGTTGTTTGCAAGGTATAACTTGCCTATTTTCGAATATTTCCGTTCCTACTACCAGCCATGCTAACGTTACCAGAATATAGTAGGTGACGATGTTTGCGAGCATCGTTTGCTTTAGCTAGATGCGATCCTTAATGCGCGTGAATTAGGGTACTAGGTGTGGCTTACCAGAAAGGGATGACTGCCACCAACCTCCTATATACGCGAGTCAAAGGTTTGTCTTATAATCCATATGTGCATGTCCACTATTTGCATAGAGCTTTTTAGGAACACTTGGACATGCTCCATGACAACGTGGTAAAATAGAAAGTAAGCTGGAACCACTGTGCAAAAATCACCAACTGGAACAACTATTCAAAAGACTGTACTCAACGCGGGTGCCGTACTTTCAAGGCAGTATCAAATGCGGTGTTTTGCTAGGTGACCATTGATTCTACCGCGACGATGGTGGCGTTTAAATTTAAAATTCAACTGCCGCACAAATCGTGCGAATCCGTTGGACCGAACACATTCCAAAACCCTGTCTTATATTGAAAAGCCCAATTTTCTCAGGTAGTTTTTCCTTACCTGAGTAGAAGCGCTTCAGCTTTGCAATGCAAAATGGAGACTGTCGGACCACTCTTGCGTATGACAGGAGCCGCTATTTTGGATCTTTCCAATCTCGATTAACTTGAAACGCGTTGGTTCTTGAGGAAAACGTCAAGACACCTAGTAGTTTCATTGTTTCTTCACACTTCATTGTTTTTGTCATTGTCAGAAGTTTCGCGAACCAGCTTAAAACATAGAAGAAGAACTAATCTTAGGCAGGCCCTTTTGCTAATACCCTACGAATATAGACGGCTATCATTATTATTTTCACTATAATTAGCGAACACAACTAGTTCACGTAGACGTCAACCTCAAGGGTCACTTTTATGTTTAGAGCATTAGTGTTACCAGGATGACTTATCCAGAATATCTGCACATACCTGTCGGCGTAAGAAGCTAGATCTAATAATCGTTTGGTCTCCCTAGAAGGGAAACGCTTTAATAGAAAGCTAGATTTTTACTTTTCCGTGGCCTTTTCTCGACAAAATTAGTTAGTTTTACCCAAAATTTCATATGAATGTCGAACGTTGTGCGAATATCTTGGAAACGGTTAATCCTATCCAAAAAGGTCCGTAATCAAATTGCTCTCATTTAAGCAACGTGTCTGTCATTCCGATTTAATCCGTTGAGGTACCTAATTAAGAATTAATTAATTTTAATATTTAGACTGTCGAAGTTAAAAAAAAAAAAAAAAAAAGCTGACAAAGACAACGAAGTGTGTTTACGTTCAGAAAAATCAGCCTACCTTTTCTGATAGCACCAACCGTTCTCAAGATAATCGATACGAGATCCTAAATACTGGAGCAACGTAATCTTTTGCACCCGAGTGTATCTGATATTCTGTCCGTTTCATTGTGATGCGGCTGCATTGACGACGCCCAGAATCATGGTGTTACAGCATACTAAAGGGAACGCTCAGGTCCATTTGCTAAGTGCCATACGCCTCCGTGCTAGTGTTGATAGCAGCCTTCTAAAGGCTCAGGATTTACCGACAGACTTTAAGCCACCTGGTAGACTTCGTTGGTATCGCGCTGTTTCTTCAAAGACTCAAAATGCAAGGTTTGTTGACCGACTCGGCGTTTTAAAAACTGGAGGATAACAAGGAATAACCCTAATTCCCTACAAGGTACAAAGGTAACTTCGAAAGAAGGAATCAGACTATAAAAACAGCTGTAGATAAGATTAGGCTTCTTACTGTCACCTTTTGATGCGTATCAATAATCTGTCGACCAATCGTCATCGTATTTAGTTATGTTCATCTTTGGGGTGTAGCTAAATGTAGGTAATAATAGCAGAGAATAAATTGCTGAAATTGTGTGAACAATTCACGGATTAGACGGCGGGAAAAGCTAAAACAATTGAATAACTACAGAGAACTAGAATCGCTATTTAGAATTAGTCGTTTGAGGAAATCCGAAAAAACAATCCGGCCTCGTTCTCTATAATTCGCGCAGACCTTTCAGCATTAACGGTAAATATGTTTCAGAAAATGCTTGCTGTCTTAATAATCCTGAAATTAAACCAAAGACCTACCGACGAGTCATCTGGCACTCGGACAGTGAAAGAAAGAAAAAAAACTCTGATATACGTCCGTCGCGGATACGCTCCATTTGTCGCAGTTTACTATTCACCGTGTCACAGCGCTAGAAAGCATCGTCGATAACGGAAAACCTCAGGTCAGAAACAGTAGACCGTGTCATGAGGCGCTTGTTAAACGCCAACAGTGGTGAGTTCATGCGTTATTAAGCGATCTGGTTGTGTCCAGTGTATTCACCCATTGAAAAGAGAAACCTAGTTCTGCATGTAGCTTTTATCGAACGTACCCGTACTGTTGGAACTCTTAACCATCACGTAACTAAATACTTCAATACAATACCTAATCCAATTCGCTGGAGACCTAATTCTTCCGATTCTTTGGATTGTCGTTCTAAATCTGTCGAACTAGTTTCAGTTGACAAGTATCCGCCGCATTCAGAATCGCCTACAGTTCTGCCACCCACGCGGAAATCGACAAAATTGTGCAAAGAAGGACAAAATTTCACGACGTTTTGTCGCACTGTCTTAGATACGAAAAGTAAATGAAAAATAAATAAGGTTGTTTCAAAATGTTCACTATAGCCTTCTCTTTTGTAATTTTCAAGTGGCATCTCGACTCGGCAGTTATTATTAGTATTTCTCATAAATCTTCCCACCCTACGATTGATGTTGTGGAGGGTAGTAAATCAGTCGTATATTGCGTCGGCTGTAGCAATTCTGGATTAGGCTAAGTTCATTGGCACAAAATTTCATCTGAATATGGAGGGTTAGTTAGCATCTAACACTCATAAAAGCTATTTCAAAAGCACAGTGCTGGAACATTGCAGGGCAAGATACGAATCTGACATTGAATCGTATGTAAAACGCTGTCGAACATGTTCTGTCGGAGCTTTTTAATTTAGTTTAAGGCACGACTTCGGTCTGTTTTCGTCTGTCTGAAAAATACATTTGGTATTATGCCGCACAAATACCTGGAGGAATTATCGCAAGCACCAATGGGTTTGTGCTCAAACACGGTCGATCAGGCTTGTGTAGTTAGGTAGGGATGCTGTGCAACGTTTCTAGGCAACGTAGCCGTGCACCCGGAGCGCTCAGACTGCGATGTAGGTAATAGCTATAACCTGAATCGGAATAGTTTTGCTGACGCAGACCTTTGGTCTCTGACATGCTGTTGCCACTCCTTATTTATTCGACGAAAAAGATTATCTAACATCAGCTTTAGCCTAGATTCTGTTAGCCGTGTTCTTAGCGGTACAGCTCACGACGACTTAACAGCACAAAAGCTGTAAAAGGCTACCTAACGTAATTTTACTAAAATCTATATATGTAATGAACCCGCCTGACTGCATATGTAAACAACCGTATCAATAAAAAAAACCTACGTGAACATGCGTAAAACAACGATTAGTGTGTGCAGAATCTTAGGTGTTCTATCTGCGTGTGCCTTTGTCCTATTTCCCTTTTTCTTTACGTAGGCCATAAAACAAAATTCCCGAATACAGCGACTCTGTTGATCCTCTAGACGTAGAATTAAAAACGTAATAATATAATCTAATTTATGTCAATGTAGTTAAATTATTCGGTAAGCCTTATTTGGACAAGAAGAAGGGCATAGCTGAAAACGATATTCACGCGAGTGTATTTCAGAAGGTAACGAAGTTTATGTACAAAGCAATTGAGCTATGTTTCGGAATTGTCTGAACCTCGGCTTTACCTAATGTGGCTTTGGGGGCTAATCTCCGGTTAACTTTGACGAACATAGCCTAATTGGTAGTGTTAGATGATGCCTACGTAGCTTCTTTTCTGCCTTTCATTAATCAGTTTGATAACTCCTGCAGTACACACCTTTCATTTCCATTCTGCTTGGCAGCAGTACAAAGTGTTCTGTTGGGTATTTAATTCTTTCGATACAGAAATTTATATCGTACACAGGACTTCACAAATGTGTGTTCATGGCAATGTTATGCGTTAATTTTTTTTTAACATGCGTTTTTTAACATGTAGAATATCTACATTCGAATTAGATTTGAAGACAAATATGGAATGCTGCTCTGCTTTATTATCTTTGCCGGCGTAACGACGTGACGAGTCTTAGACCGCTAAAACGTCACTATCGATCCCAGAGCCTTACATTTATTGTAGGGTTTTGTATCGCTAATGATCTACTTAGCCAAACGGCAGTTGGATTTTAAGGGGCTTTTGGGCTAGCTATTTTTCAAATTATAGTTAACAACGAAATCTAGTGCGTCTTCCAGACCAGTGCGTGAACTGGACTGAATAGGGAAACTGATCCTAATTGGTCTATGTGAGTCAGAAAGGGGCTTGCTAGTTTGAATTTGAATGGATAATCTCAAAGTGCGACCTTCAACGCTTTGAAATTGGTGAAATAGAGGTTACAACTGAATGCATAGGTCCACATTAGCCTAAACATTTCTCATTAATGAGTTCTTCCTATTCGACAAAGTTTTACTCGTACGCCTCTGCCGAACATTCCCTACAGGTTTCAACTTTAAGAATAACGCAAGTGAAATATAGCTATTCTTTTGGATGCGAAGAATAGGCAAATTTCTCCTCAACGATTACGCTTTTCTATTCAATGAAGCAATGGGCATCTCAATATCAAACGAGGCACAAAGGACAGGTCGCGGTGCTTTGTAAAGACGGCGAAGTCAATTGGATATGTAACCAATGTTACATATCCAATTGACCGGGGGCCGATTTTTCTGCTCGGTCATATCTCCTGGTGTCTTGAATGCTAAGCATGGGGCACGTAATAATTTTTCAATCTTCAAAAGTACCTTTTCCCTCGCCAGTGGTAGACACCCTCCCCAAATGCAAAAAGCTTTGAATGATGGATGATGATGATAAGATCTGGCGGTACAGTTGTTCTGTAAACCTAACCTTTTTCGATCCACAGTAATTTTGGTGCCCAATATAAGTGTAGGTTTGTCTAGTTGCATAACTTCTAAATAAGTTGGCGCTTCATATACTTATATAATATATGTATATATATGCGATTGAAGGGCTCTTTATTGAATTGCGGAATTAACGTTCTTAATGGTAAACTAATGCTAATACTAACTAAGTTGTGCTTGAAAGAACAGGTTCAATGATTTGACACCTAGAATTCAAGGAATGCGCTTCAAAACAATGTGATATGTGCCATAATCACAGTGTTATGACAACTTTTTTATTTTACATCATAAGGCTATACCTCAACAGTTAAATTCAGCAGAAGCTAAGTTTTTCTTGTGATTGTAATTGCTTAAACATCACACTGTTTGGACAAGGAATTACCGCCTGGTGACTCAATTCAATCGGGTAAGCTCTTCATGCTACCAGTTTTCTTTGTTGTTTGAGAAAAATTGGAAAGAAATGTTAAGATATACATTTTGTACTAGTTCCGTTTTCACATTGCCAGAATTCAAATACCCGCCTACGAGCGGGTAGTAATTGCATTTTAAAAGCGTGGCTTTTATATAGTTTTCGTTACCACTGTTCTTTTAGGAAACAGCAGTTTACGTATGTAATCTTTCTTTGTACTGATTACAAACAGTAATATCCAGTTATATTTCTAAGGAAGATTTCTTGAATTTAAAAATGTAGTTTTTTCAGGTGCACCTATCGTAAGCAACAGGTGCTGAAGTCCCTCACTGCTTCAAATCTTATAAGCCTTGCATAAACTCTTCCTGTCAGTACAAAAGCTCTACAGGCAAGCGCAACAGCCTCATCACTAATGTCTCCCCCAGCACCAGCCAAGGCCCCGTCCTTTGCAGCTACTCCGCCTTCAAACAAAAACCCTGTGTCAACTTCCCCATTGCCTACTCAACCCGAAAAAGAGTCTTCCGCACATGCAAAGCTATCGGATGTTCCCACTGATGGATCAGTGATCCCAAGAGCTGTTTTAAGCGGTCCGAAACCTGCTGTGGCTCCTGAAACACCGTCTCCCGAATCAGCAAACGAACAACAAGCAGCTGCAGGGCTCAAGGCCGTTGTAAGCCCAGCAGTGTGTTTGGCGAGGACAGTCGAACTTCTGGCAACACCAGTGCAGACTTCAGCTCATTCGTTAGCGGTCTTTTCAAACACCACAGTGAACTCCAACGCTGTCTCAGCATCTCCACGGCCCTTAATGACTGAACATACGCATCCACCTCTGGTGGTGACGCTAACCGCCACACAATCAGTTTCAGCGTCCCCTACGCCGTCAGAAATACCCGCATGTATATTGTCAGCATTCGACAGGGCGCAGATTCTCTCCCAAAGATCATCGCCGCAATCCGAACGGTCCTCTCTGGCATCCTTAGAGGAAGCTTCTGTGCCGAGTGGAATACTGTCACCGAACTTAACGGTATCGCTCAAAGCACCTGATCAGGTTTCGCCAGCAAAAAAGTCGGCAGAGCCCGTGCAATCTGCAGAGGTACACATTTCTGTACCGCTTGGATCAGGACAAGTTACGCAAGAGCGTGGAAAAATACCAGTAGCACCACCGGTGCAATCGGAGGCATTTGAAGGAAGCTCACCGAATTCCGCAAGGACTCTGCCGAGTCCGGGAACTCCATCCCCAATCTTGGATCCAGCGGCGCTACTGATGGCGGACCCTGCAGCTCTAACATCGGTCCCTTTAAAGGAGGGGTTTATCAGCTTGAAAGATTTGACGACCCCCGAAAACGTGCCACCAGCCCTCGAAAAGCTAGTGGCAGTTCCTGAAAAAGTTGTATCCGTTTCTAAGGGCGTAAAGCCGGCATACACAACGACAGCACCAGTTTCTAAAATAAGACCGGCATCCCTTGCAAAAGGTTTCGTGCCACCACCATCAGTTTCTGGAGAAACTGTATCAGCCCCTGCACAGTCGTCCCACAACGCTAAAAGTCCGGAACCGGTTTCCGTAAAAGACTTGCTAGTTTCTTCAAAACCTGTATCGGCTCCACCGATACCACCTGGTGGTTTGGCTCAAGCAAAGTTACCACAAGTTCCCGTGCCGGCACAATCGAACTCCACAAGTTCGGCATCAAACTTAAAAGGGCCATCAGACACTCCAAAACTCCCATCAGATATAGACCTCTCATTACTTGACTCGTCAACGTCCAAAAAAATGCCGCTTCCGCTTTTTACTCCGTTAGGAGTCTTAGGGTCGGAAAATCTGTCGCTGGAACCCGCATCGGATCCTGTGAAAGCAAAAGCGGCATTACCACAAATACAACGGCGTCTAAAATTCGTTCAGCCAGACGTAGCAGAAGCTGATTCCGATAAAAATGAGCCGCCTGACCCTGTAGTTCCTTCTCCAAAATTGCGCGTCCGGAAAGGTAGGGGACGGCCTGGTGATGGCAAAGCGCGAAATTTACATACCAAGGCACGAGACGTCCAGACGAAAAATCGAATTGCGCAAAAACAAGCTCGATTTTTTCAAAACAAAGCTAAGGGACTACGGACTAAAGGTCGACCCGTCCAGACGAAAGCTCGACTTCGTCAAGTCAGGACTCGAGCCTTGCAAACAAAAGGCCGAGGTCTTCAGGGTAAGGCTCGCGAAGTGCCATTGAAAGCGCATCCTTCGCCGAGTCCACAAAAACCACAACCGTCATCCTCAGACGACGCGTCAGAAGCAACAGAAGCTCCGGATGTTACACCAGAAATTACACCGAGTCCTGTGGTGTCTCCTCCGGTTTCTCCAGAGATTCCACCGACAGCTCTGCAGGAATGTCAAAAAGACATGGCAAATGTATCTGCGCAAAGTCCACCAGAGTTCTCAAAAGCTTTGCCAGCGATTCCAGAAGCTTCTCAAATCTCCAAAGCTACTGAGATCCGTAGCCCAGAATTGTCACAGTTGCGCAGCACTTCTGAGACATCCGAAATACCTCAAGCGGCTTTGGGAGCGTTTTCAAATGTCAATCGCGCACCTTCAGCAGCTTTAAAAGTGCCTCAAAATATTTCACAGGGGCCTGTCGAAGGCTCACCTGCAAAAGTGCCGCCGGAAGACCCACGGCTGTCTCCAGTTCCGGTTTCTGGAAGCGCCTCCCGAGCATCAGAGGAAAATCCAGAATCAAAATCTGGTTCGTCGGTGTGAACTGGCGTCAAGAAATCCACAACAAAGTCAATCAATGAAAACTTCTATTGGTGTATCACAAAGTTGCTGCAGAGGATTCACAGCGTGTCTAAGAAGGCAATTCGACCAATGATTATCGCGTCGACTACAGGCTAATAGCGCATAGTAGAATGTTGGTTACACGAGGAATAACGAATTATTATTAATGACAAGATGGTTTTGTGGCAGAAAGTAGTCACATCTATAAACTCATTTTCAATATGACAAAAAGTTGGACCTAAGAACACCCGAGTCGTTACCCGCTATACTGAGCACATTTTTCATGCAATCTCGTGTGAACATCGTTAACATTGGCATGAACGTTCTTGCCAACCTCAGATTGACACAGACGACTTGGACGCGCTTTCCAAAAGAGGACACAACGATAATAATGTATAAGTTAAGGCATGGTGCTTTATTTACGCTGCTAGACGTGCACGCGTTTCCTCATAAACGTACAAAACACCAGCCATCTACTAGAGGCCCGTGTTTTTACGACGCGTACAGAGCGCTACACACAAACGCAGACAAGTACTTGCTCAACGTAGGAAAATTTCGGTCGCCTAAGGGCATCTAAATGATTGGTGGATATTATTAAGAGAAAGAGAATGTCAAAGGCATGTAAATGAGCGGCTTAAGAGGGACCATGTGCATAATGGATGCGCTGACCAAGTTCAGTGTCTAATCAAGAAGGACAAAGACATGGACTTACCGACCTAATTACCATCTTTGGAGGCCACTCGAATATGTGCTCACATACAACCGATGTCACCGGTAAGGCTCATTGTGTGAGCCTACTTTACACGTAAACTTGGTACAATCACGTCAAAAATGACGACTTTCATATTTAGCACTAACAAGAAAAGTGGCCATCGAAGGTTAGCAAGCCAAGAGCTGCTTTCCATTGAAGACAACACGGATACGAATCTTGTAATCCCCACTATTTGAAGACAACGCGCCACTTCAGCGAAGCCAGCGGGAGTTGGGACACACGCACCATGAGCATCCTCTTTGCTAATTACAATTGCTGTATTGCTAACATGACAATATTAATATTTCTTGACGGCGATCACTTCCTATATTATTATTGTTATTATTAGTATCTTCTTCTTATTAGTAATCTTCCTGGATACAGGCTAGGTGAAATTGAATAAAAAATGCCGGTCGTCATAAATGCAGCCATTCTTTTCGGATGGTAGATGAGTATATTGATCTGTAGCGGTATCTCAGCCCTGAAACGCTAGCGCTTAGAGCCTGCTCATTCGAACCACCTTGATGCGGCACTAAGAAGATTTGGCACAAGTGTTTTTTTTAAGAAAGAAGGCAGCTTGCTTGCTATGGAGAAAATTTCTTGAAACCTATTGAAATTAAACATGCAAATCATGCACTCTATGGTCAGGTCGTTGATGTTTCCGCAGACAACTGCAAGAAACGTTATGCTTATGGAGGGTTTTCCGATGCGTTTCATTAGCAGCGCTAAGTACTGACCTTTTGCATTATGAGAAATAATTATAAAATTAAAAACACAATTACAAAACGTTATTTCTGCTCAGTTATCACTAGGTTTGACGTCGCGTTGAACTGCACTAGGTAAAGACGGCTTCGGGTAATATGAGTGCATAGCGTAATGTTACGCTGTACTACAGAAAAGATACAAATAGTACGAAAATTATCCGAAATCAACGCTATAAACACGAAAATTGTTTTGCAAAATTTATTAATTCCGACGACCATTATGGTCCTGGTTGAAACTTTGTTTGGAGATGATTACTTACTGTATTATTAAATAAAGAGTCGCGTTCCATCGTGATGACTGCTTGTTCCGAAGAACCTTGTCGAAGGACCTAGATAAGCCAAACATAAACAAGATCTACTCAGTCCATAGACACTCATGAAACGGTGATGCATGCACCCGTCTTAACGGACTTTTCGAGCACAGGCTTCCTATACCGGAAAAAACGCGGCTCTGTGTAGTAGAAGTGGGCATAGATTGTGAAAATTAAGCACGATATTGACAGAAGATACTTGTGGCTGACAAATGAGCAGTATACACTTTTTTTTTTTATTTTAAGAACGAGTATTTAATTAGCGATGTACGAACGGTTATTAAACGGCGTAACGGCGGGCTAAACTTCGCGAAAAAGCACAATAGATCATCACAATCGTCCATTAATTAGTTAGGAACTTTATCGAATATGCGTCATGAGATAATGATCTCATGACGCATAGTGGCCACTTCTCCCGTTGCAACAGCACGCCCATGTTTAAAAAACACAGCAGCTGTGTGACATGACTTCTTAACGTAAAAGTGCACACCTTCACAACTATTCAAGTGAATTCGGAAAAAAGACAAACTCACAATTAACGACAGGAACATTCGAGAGCTAAGAGCCTGCGTAAGCCGAAAATTATTGGTTATAGGACCCTGGCAGGCGAAACCAAACCATCTATCAGTCATATAATGAAGGTCTGATGTCTAATTATTATTTTTTTTTTGTACTAAACATAACTTCACTTACTCGGCAGCTCTTCCTCTATCCACTAAAGCAGATTTTTTTTATAAACCATTTAAAGCTACAGATGAGAGAATGCCTTAGTGCTTAAGCATGCTGAGCGATATTTCTCTAAATCACAAGTAGACTGTTCAGGTTTATTTAAATAAAATATTCAGCTATAATAACTTTGTGCGCTGAAGGTGATACTTGTAAGATCGATAATAGGCGTTCCGCAACTAAAACTAAACATAATTTATTTAAGTATTGAGGTTTTTATAAATGCAGAATCTCTTTAAGAAGCGCACAAATAGAAACGCCCGACGTTTTATTGTTTGTGGTGATAAGGGCATTTATCTTATTTTATTATTATTAAATTGACAGAAGAAGAAATAAGCGATTTTTGATGACCACCTGCGCCGAACTGACGTGGCGAACACGAACCACCGGACGACCTCATTACAAGGAGGGGTAGTCAAGCAGCCTGTGACAGATGTAAATCTCATTATAAGATAAGATTTTTTTTAGAATGATAGCTTTCTGCGCTGATAATTAATATATCATTAGTAACAGGTACATTGGACCTGTGGACGAAGTCAGTCTTTCTATCATTACATATACTTGGGCCATCTTTCATAACGAAAGAAGACATAACATGCTCACCAAAATGCTTCTGAAACACAACAGGGATCATTAATCTATGTTCTTTGTCGTTGTTTTTCTTGTGCTGCTTTGTAGATCATGAACAGCCGTACTTGGCTCTCAGATCAGACGGAAATGAGCGCGATCATGCGGATTATAACACTGCATTCATCACAGACATTGCACACGGACAAATTCCGTAATGCAATAGGCCATCCAATAAGAGGTGCACCATGCCAAAAAAATCCATAGAAAATCTGTGTAGCAGAATTGCAATTTGGGAAAGTCAGGCGAGGAAAACATTCTATTATACTACAGCTTAGAGTGTTGTCTATATTGAATCCATTAAGCAGTATCCATTACACGGAAAAGATAGCGCATTATTGGACTCGATGTACCAAACAGAATTTGGTATTAAAGGAATACTTTGCCAGATGGGTAGGCCAGCCAGTGAGTCAGTTATTTGGCACAGATCAATGTTGGATTAACTTTTAACTCGAAAGTAATAACAATATTCTTCTGTTGCCGGCTAAAATATCTCTAATCGATGCAAGTAGCTTGGATAAGGGTGCACTAATGATAGTATAGATTTAAGTCGCCGGGGGGTAGAGATTCAAGGACTATTCCACTGTTCAAGTTCGTCATTGGTGCACGTTCACTAATTTTGTCCACCTGATGAATAAGATCTCTGCACGCGATGTTGGACTGATCTATAAAGAAAGATAATATGGAATTAAGGCGCCAATTTTTTCTGTAAATAGTCTCGTTTATCGATGTACGAAAGATATATGAGATGGCGAGAAAAACGACCAATGGCGATCCCTTAACAAGGTGATGCAGAACACTCCAGAGTCTCCTGAGTACTATCTGTTTGTACTCCACTATATATATATATATATATAGTTACCGAAAATCAAGATGTCTCGAGGAGCTTATCATGAAACGCAATAAATACACATATAGACCCTACGATTCAGTAATGTTTAATAAATTTCTTTTAAAATAACACATTCTAGAGTTGAATCACACCTGAAAAATTATGCTTAGAACGACGACTCCACGGGGGTCCTTAACTGATTGCTCAAACGTCATATATGGCTCTGCTATGTGAAGCACATGCAATTTAAAACAAATTACGGTTAATCCGATTTTCAAAAATTTCTCCACAACTTAAACGAATAAAATTATAAACTTAGCAGCTCGCAGTAAAACAAGTGCGGTTGGTTTTTCTTTTGTACACGTTTGAAATAGACGCATAATTTTGGGCTGATAGAAAATTATGACCACCCCGATATCACAGGTTCAACACAACAGCACACTTCCCGATATCGACGCCAAATTATCATCATAGACATTGCACTCGTTCGATAAAATCAAATTGGGAGGTGGCGTTGGTGACTACCCCAGCAGATATGATAATGGCTTGTAAAGGAGAACGATGCTTAATATTATGGCTTTCAACAAACCTCGAGTGGTCTGGCTCGACCATCGACGAGATGCTCTGATCGCACCGTTGAAGCAGTACCCCAATGAAAATAAAACGCTGTAAAGAAACATATTCTCTCACCGTTCGCGCTCCTTCTTTGATCGTTATTTTCGGTTCTATTGTTTTGCTCCGGTAGAACAAAAACGGGCGCGTCAGCGGAATCTGGACGAAACCAAACTTTAAAGGCATCTATTTAATTCTAAAAATATAATTTTTTACTGTCTTACCGATTCCAAATCGAACTGCTTAAAAAAAGTCTAAAGCGAGACCTAGCTTATCGTATTCGTGAACAATACTTCTACTTGTGTGTGCTACAACAACAGCTTGACATTTGTTACCTCGGCTGTGGCGTTTTAAGCCATCTTCAGGATCAGTGGCTCTGCGGTCGGACTCTGCCTTTAAGATTCCGGCTCGATTATGATGAGCACTCGCCGTGTGAAGGTTGAGACAATATATTCTAGGAGTATAAGCGCTAACTCATAGAATAGTATATAGCGCAATATAAAACACAGCAGAGGAATGTCTGGATTCTAGTAATCCACCCCACAGAGAATAGAATTAGAGACAAATATTGGCGTGTTATAGACGTGGGTGGATAACAATTAAAAGTAGCGCCTCTTCAAAGTATATGTAATAATGGGGCAATGAACAATCTAAGGGAAACAAAAAAAATTGTTCACTTTGTCGCCTGTTCCTCCTATAATCCTGAATGACTCAAGTGCTGTAAACCTAAAACACTTCATGAATACGGTAGACCCCATTTCGAGACACGAGATGGCTATCGTATTTACTGAATTTGATTGCTGAGTATAATGTTTCCCGATGTTTAGCTTTGTTTTTAATTTGATTTTAACTTTGAAAACTACTTTTGAGCTCGCTCTTACCAAAGAGGTTATAGCGCCGTTCAAGCATGCTACCCTCGATTTATTGTGGGCGGTCTGTACTGGTAGTGTATCATACACAAACATATAGGAGAAAACATATTTAAACCTAAAAATCACATACGTGCTCCTGTCCCGAGCTTAGCTTGAGAGACCAACACAAATTTATAATCAACATCGAGAAACAGATAACGAATTTGGCATTCGTATCAAACTCCCATAAAATATTTCGTGTAAGTTTGTACAACTGTACGTCCAATTCGCTGGATGGCCATACGTTATACCTGAATTTTCGTTTAGAATTTCTTGGCTAAGTTTTTACAAACGTATATGCAAATAGATGAATTTCAATTATAAAAAATATTAAAGGTTGTTTTAGGTAAATTTGATTTACTAAATCACCCATTCTCTCTCGATAGGTAGTAAGATCCGGAACGGAACGTGCACAGAGGACTAGTGACTTACTTAAGCGATTGTTCTTAAGCAGTCCGAAATCTTCTACTAATTACTTCCAGAAAACCGGATCCTATTTTCGCTTCGTTAATTGCCAGTGCAACGAACTCGATTTAACGGCGCGAACGGAAGGAAGCACAATGCATACCCCGAAGCTAGGGGTCTACATGGGGCATCCTAAATTAATGTATCCTAAGATCCTCT